TCTCTTTATCACCTTTTTCCTCATTTATTACAGAGATCTGTCGTCCTTGTCGCAACTTCACCGCTGGTAGCTGACTGTATTGGAAATGCATTGATGAGGAGCATGAAAAAATTGGTGCTGGTGATTAGGATTATCCTCCGGGCAAAAGGCAGACCGGAACCGGAATTTTCTAAATTTGAAAGCCGACAACCGGATCAGTTTACGTCCAGTTCGAGCCCGGACCCGAATTGAAAATATTGGTTGGCAACCAGAACCGGCCGGACTAAACCGGTTTTTGTTTTTTTCCAGCAAACCTTTACCCTAGAAATCATAATTTATACTCCAAAAATGCCTAAAAATCCAAGAAATGGTGTCGTAAAGTTTACAAGTTACAACATGTCTCAATATCCAAGAAATGCTTGCAAAACATTAATCACATGTCTTAAAATCCCAAAATGTAGCATACAGTATTAGGTTTACAACAAGATGATTAGCGAATATTAAAATTTGCAACTTCAAGCAACAAAAACTTCAATCAACATAAACCACAACAACATGATTATGAAATATTAAAGCTTGAAACTTCAAGACTTCAAGTAACATAAATGAGCTCTTCATGTTGGATATTCATATATATATATATATATATATATATCAACAAAACTCCGTATGCAATATATATATAAATATATAATAGCTAAATCCATATAAATCCATGAAATCAAATATGTATGAACTAAGATTAGAACAATACCTTGAGAATTCATTTGCATTAACACTTTAAGAAGACCCGGAATCCAACACGATTGATCGGCCTAACCTTCCAGTGCTATGTACCGTATGAGATGTTGATTGTCCTAGTCCTACCTATTGATGGGATATATATAGGACTAGTGGAATATTGTAACGGTTGGCCCTTAGTATTCTAATAACTCCTTTATTATTATTACAATAATGATATTATTTAGAATAATTTATTAGGCCATTTTCCATTACAATATCTTTACTGTTATCTCTTAGTTTACACGCACCGGGGGTCATAACCGTTGTATCACTTTAGTGTAATATATTTAATTTGACCCGTCACCAAAAGAAATATATTATCCTGGTATCTACACTTTCATTATTTCATGAATAGCCACTGTATTATTTATTTGATGGTAAACACATTTTAATTAATTACATATTAGGCCCCTTTTATTGTTTTCCAACAATCTCCCACTGGGCCTTATATGTAATTCTTAACAAAATGTGTTATCTTTATGAGCTCAAAAATACCATCATTTAAAATAACATCCTTAAACAATCTGGTCCATCAGTAATACTGATATAGAACCATTGCAGCATTTTGTTATGTTAAACATAACTATACCATCAATGATCACTAGTATCAATATTACATAATGACATAGATCAATCATGAAATGTGTAGCATGAAAATTACATGAAATGTGGCATGTACATGTAAATTTTCAACTGACCCTCCTTTTAAAAACTTTAAACTTTAATATCTTAATTGTTCAGAATACACCAAATGTCAAACTTTATTCTGATCAGAAAATAAATTCATAAAGCAATAGAACATCAGGCATAACTTATAAACTCTCACTAAACTTGAGGTTCCTTAAAATCAATGACTCCCAAGTGAGCAGTATGCTCATGAAAAACTTTTGGTGGGAGGCCCTTGGTTAAAGGATCCGCTAGCATGGAGTTTGTACTTATATGTTCAATAACGACCCTTTTATTCTGAACCCTTTCTTTAATAGCTCGATATTTCACTTCAATGTGTTTTGTCTTGCTCGAGCTCTTGTTGTTGTTAGAGTAAAGCACCGTAGAATTGTTGTCACAAAATATCTTGATAGGCTTCGAAACATTATTTAATATTTTCAGCCCATCAATAAAATTGCGCATCCATATTCCATGGTTTGAAGCTTCAAAACAGGCCAACAACTCTGCCTCCATAGTTGAGGTAGCTATCATATCTTGCTTAACACTTTTCCAAGATACAGCACCACATGCTAGTAGATAAACATAGCCTGAAGTAGATCTACTAGTGTCTTTGCAGCCGGCAAAATCAGAGTCGGAGTATCCAACGACCTCCAACTGATCTGATTTTCTATATGTAAGCATATAGTCCCTTGTTCTCTTTAAGTATCTCATAACTCTTTTGGCCGCCACCCAATGAGCCATTCCTGGATTACTGAGATATCTGCCTAGCATCCCAATAATATACGCAATATCCGGACGCGTACAAACTTGGGCATACATAAGACTTCCTACAACAGATGCGTAGGGAATCTTTTTCATTTCTTGAATTTCAAGATTTGTTTTAGGGCACTGATCGAGACTAAACTTGTCTCCTTTAGAGATAGGGGTATCACACGGTCTACAATCTTCCATGCCAAATCTTTTAAGGACCTTATCGACATAGTTCCTTTGTGATAACCTTAAGATTCCTTGTGATCTCTCACGAAGGATTTCAATTCCTAATACAAAGGAGGCTTCACCAAGATCTTTCATTTCAAAATGTTTTGATAGAAATCTCTTGGTTTCATGCAACATACCTATGTCATTAGTGGCAAGAAGAATGTCATCAACATATAAGACCAGGAAAAATATTTTACTCCCACTGAACTTATGATATACACAATCATCTACATCATTCATCTTAAAACCGAAGGATAAAATGACTTGATGAAATTTGTGATACCATTGACGAGAAGCCTGTTTTAGCCCATAGATGGATTTTGTTAATTTGCAAACCATTTGTTTTGGATCTCCAATCACAAAATTTTCTGGTTGCACCATATAAATAGTTTCATCAATGTCACCATTGAGAAACGCTGTCTTAACATCCATCTGATGAAGCTCTAAATTAAAATGTGCAACTAAAGCCATAATGATTCTAAAAGAGTCCTTTGATGAAACCGGAGAAAAGGTCTCTTTATAATCAATTCCTTCCTTTTGAGTATAACCTTTAGCTACAAGACGAGCTTTATATCTCTCCACATTACCCTTTGAATCCCTTTTGGTTTTAAATATCCATTTACAACCAATGGGTTTACAACCTTCGGGTAATGGGACGAGTTCCCAAACTTTATTGTCTTGCATAGATTTATACTCCTCATTCATTGCGACAATCCACTTTTGAGAATTTGAACTTTTCATGGCTTGACGGAAGTTGATTGGATCATCTTCCATAACTCCACTTTCTTCCTCATGTTCTTGAATAAACACAAGGACATCGTTCTCTGTATCCATGCTTGACGCATGTTCTTGGAGATATACAACATAATCATCCGGAATTGCGTATCTCCTCTCTCTAGTGGATCGCCGCAATGACACATTTTCTTGTTGCACTTGCTCTAGAGGAAGTTGAGTTTGTTCATTTTGAACAATTTCTTCAGTTTGGAAAGGAGATGATGAAATAATGCCTTGTTGAGTTTCCTCATTAGTTTCAAAAGAAACATCCGTATGAATTGGTTCAGGTATTGAAATCAATTCTTCCTCAAAGACAATATCCCTAACTTTATTCTTCCCCCCAAACTCAACATCCTCGAAAAATATGGCAGTTCCCGTCTCAAAAATATTTTTATCCTCGGGATTATAAAATTTATATCCCCTAGATCGCTCTGAGTAACCAATAAAGTAACTACTAACTGTTTTGGGTTCCAGTTTCTTTTCAAATGGCCTATACGGCTTTGCCTCAGCTGGACAACCCCAAATATGAAAATGCTTTAAACTAGGCTTTTTACCCGTCCAAAGCTCATAAGGTGTTTTAGTAGTTGCTTTAGTTGGCACTCGATTAAGAATGTAAGCTGCGGTCTTTAATGCCTCACCCCAGAGGGATTCCGGTAAGATAGAATGAGAAATCATACTTCTTACCATTTCTTTAAGGGTTCTATTACGTCTCTCAGCTACACCATTCATGCTAGGTGAACCCGGCATGGTGTATTGAGGGACAATCCCACATTCCTCTAGAAACTTGGCAAAAGGCCCTGGACGTTGTTCACCTGAGCCGTCATACCTCCCATAGTATTCACCACCACGGTCGGATTTGACTTTCTTTATGCGTTTGTTGAGTTGATTCTCAACTTCCACTTTGTAAGATTTAAACACGTCCAAGACTTGAGATTTTTCATGTATAAGAAATAAGTATGCATATCTAGAGTAATCGTCTATGAATGACACAAAATATTGTTGACCATTCCATGAAGGAGTAGGAAATGGCCCACAAATATCCGTGTGTATTAATTCTAAGACATCCGTAGCTCTATATGCACCTTTTTTCTTATTTTTGGTTTGTTTCCCTTTAATGCACTCAATACAAGTATTGAAATCAGAAAAATCAATGGAATTAAGTGTTCCATCGGACACAAGACGTTCAACTCTATTTTTAGAGATGTGACCTAATCGTTTGTGCCATAAAAAACCAGATTGTGCATTATCAACCTTTCGCTTAGTGCCTCGGGTGTCAACATTCAAAGCATTATTATATGAAGTTATTGTTTCAAGCATGTAAAGATTGTCATATGACATAAAAGAACCAGTCCCCACAATATTTGAATTTAAAGACAAATTAAACCGGAAGTTTCCAAAAGAACAATGATAACCTAATTTGTCCAAATAAGAAACAGAAACCAAATTCCGCCTAAATGACGGAACAATAAAAGTGTCTTTTAAATCCAAATAGAAACCGGTAGATAATAACAATCTAAAATGCCCAATAGCCTCCACATGCACCGCTTTGCCATCTCCCACATAGACGCATCTTTCAGCATCATTTGGCTTGCGGTGGCTCAGACAACCCTGCATAGAAATACTGATGTTAGATGTTGAACCGGAGTCTAACCACCAAGTATTTCTAGGCACCGAAGCTAAATTGTTTTCAGTACAAACCAAAGCAAGGACCGTACCTTTCTTCACTTTCCAAGCATGATACTTGGTACAATCCTTCTTCATGTGTCCAGACTTCTTACAGAAGAAACAGGTTGTTTCACCTTCCTTATGTTTCATCTGTACTGGACCCTTAGCAGCTTCATTCTTAATGAGAGTTTTCTTCCTCTTTTTACCCTTATCCTTAGAGGTACTAGCCAAGTGAGCACTTTCTGTCTTATTTTGTTTCATCCTCTCTTCCTCTTGCACGCAATATGAAATGAGCTCATTAAGAGACCACTTCTCCTTTTGGCAGTTATAACTAACCTTAAAAGGATCAAATGCAATAGGAAGAGAGTTCAAGACTATGTGTACGAGAACATCTTCCGATATCTCAATCTTAAGTGTCTTGAGCCTAGAAACAATATAAGACATTTCCATAATATACTCCCTTATATTTCCTTTTCCTGAATACCTTTTGGAAGTAAAGTCTTTTAATAACATGCTTATTTCCGCCTTATCGCTTTTAACAAAACGTTTCTCAATTTCAGAAAGGAAATCCTTGGCATTAGTAACCTCATCGGATACAGCACCCCTAAAAGATTCTGGAATTCCACGCTTTATGATCATAAGACTTAAGCGATTCGAGCGATCCCACTTCTCATAGTACCTTTTTTCATCTTGGGTACTAGCATCCGTAAGAGAAGCGGGTTGCTCTACCCTTAATGCTAAGTCAAGATCCATGCAGCCCAAAGTTATTAGAATAATTTCTTTCCATTCCTTAAAGTTAGTACCATTTAGGACAGGGATGGAGTTGAGATTGGCAGATATGCTCGAAAAATTCACTGTAGAAAGAACAAGGACAATGAACATATATTTTAGTGAAATTGTAAAATAATTTTTAACCCATCACAAGATACCAAATGCACCATTAGTATTTCATCTTTGGACAATAATACTAATTGCTAGTGGTACTCTTGTTGTAACAATAAAATATAACAATAATACATATAAAAGAAAAATCCACCTTTGGGTTGACTTTTTCTTTTAAAGTGCAACCTTATAATTGTTATATATTTATTATTACCAAAATGTATATATATAACTTGATAAAATATTAATCTTCCTTTGGGCCGATTAATATTTACTTGAACTATATACGAAGTATGTACTATGTTTAATATTTTATATGAGCAACTTACACAATAGGATCACTTTGGTGACTTATTGTTTCTATATACTCATTTTAAATACTAAACTCCCTTTTATTTTACAATTTCCTTTCAAAATTTTACCGCAGTTTGCTAAAAAAACGTGCAGTAGTCAACTTCTAATCGATTTGAACATGAGCAGGGGCAATTTAGTTCACAAATTTTGATAATAGTAATAGCATTAAATCAATCAAACGAACTTAAATGAACAATTGCTAGTCAGTCCAAAAATCGAATAGATCATTAGTAACTTAATTCATGATATTATTGATTCAAATAACGAAAGCAAACTTAAAATATCAAAAATTATATCCAGGCACACAATTCAACACACCTATGGCATAGCTATTGCAATTACTATTAAAATAATGGCATAATTTGTTGCCAATCTTGCCATGTGGCTTGAGTGCTGGACAAATCCACTATGTGGAAGAAAAAACCAAGGATTCAATTGCTCCATAGTAATTTAGCAGGATGTATCCATTATGCAAAAATTGATTTGAAACCACAATTATTCGGAGTATATTAAATCAATGCAGAGGCCAAAAGTTCATCCGAAAACTGAAGCATTAAAGATATCAATATGCACCTTGAAGTCAAACGTGCAGCGGAAAATTAACGTTTCATCTTGGGGCACATGAAACGGTTTAAAGTTTCATCTTGAAAAATGATTTAAGTACTGAAAAGTTTTAGACATATACATATCTCGGCACTCAAAAATATCATGCGGCTCATGATGTCATTAATATGCAACTTCGAACATCAGAGAGTAAAGCAAATTCTTGACATACTAGTGCAAAATACTGATGAATGTCACGATGAACTCATATGCGAATTCAAAACGAAAAATTTCATGAATCTATAATGGTAGGCTCTGATACCAATTGTTGGATATTCATATATATATATATATATATATATATATCAACAAAACTCCGTATGCAATATATATATAAATATATAATAGCTAAATCCATATAAATCCATGAAATCAAATATGTATGAACTAAGATTAGAACAATACCTTGAGAATTCATTTGCATTAACACTTTAAGAAGACCCGGAATCCAACACGATTGATCGGCCTAACCTTCCAGTGCTATGTACCGTATGAGATGTTGATTGTCCTAGTCCTACCTATTGATGGGATATATATAGGACTAGTGGAATATTGTAACGGTTGGCCCTTAGTATTCTAATAACTCCTTTATTATTATTATTACAATAATGATATTATTTAGAATAATTTATTAGGCCATTTTCCATTACAATATCTTTACTGTTATCTCTTAGTTTACACGCACCGGGGGTCATAACCGTTGTATCACTTTAGTGTAATATATTTAATTTGACCCGTCACCAAAAGAAATATATTATCCTGGTATCTACACTTTCATTATTTCATGAATAGCCACTGTATTATTTATTTGATGGTAAACACATTTTAATTAATTACATATTAGGCCCCTTTTATTGTTTTCCAACACTTCAGTCATACATCTTTCCTCCTCCACACCTAATAAAAAAACTAAAACGAATTAAAATGAAATTAATATGAGCATTAGTATTAAACTGTAGACAGAATGCTATCATTATATTGGACTATAGTTGTGTTAACTTCTTGTTAATATGATTGGAACCTATTAAGTGACCAAGAAATATCATTTTTATGGTTTTGTAAGTAAGTTTCTGTTCACAATTATGAAATGTATACCAATTTTGGCTAATTATTTTTAATGCCTTGTTTGACTTTTATAAATGAACTACTAGCAAGGTGAGACTATCAAGAAGAACACAAACTTAAAGGTGGGAAAGTTTTATGAGTTAGCTCATGAACTCAATATCATTTTATATTTAGCATATCATAACTATATGTTTGAACATACTTAAAATATAAAAAACCAATCGAACTTCACCATATGATAAATTTACAAATTTAAAGAAATTTATCTGGTCACAATAAATGCACACGTAAATATCCTTAGATTTGTAAATTTATGATATGATGAATTCAATTGGTTCTTATTTTTTAAGTATGTTGAAACATATAGTTTGGATATGCTATGCATAACATGGTATTCAATTCACGGGCTAAGTTACAGAACTTTCCCACTTTCAAGTATGTGTTCTTCTTTATAGTCTCACCTTGGTAGTAGTAGATTTATAAACGTCAAACAAGGCATTAAAAATAATTAGCAAAAATGGGTACGCATTTCAGAATTGTGAACAAAAACTTACTTAATAAATCATAGAAATGATCTTTCTTGGCCACTTTATAGGTTCCAATCAAATTAACAAATAATTAACACAACTATAGGCCAACATAATGATAGCATTCTTTGTACAGTTTAATATTAATGTTCATATTAATTTAGGTTTAATTTGTTTTAATTTTTTTTTTTGTGTGGAGGAGGCAAGTTGTATTACTGAAGAGCCGGTTTACGTTACTTGAAGTCTTGAAGTTTCAAGCTCTAATATTCCATAATCATGTTGTTGTGGTTTATGTTGATTGAAGTTTTTGTTGCTTGAAGTTGCAAACTTTAATATTCACTAATCATTTTATAAACCTAATACTTTATGCGGAATTTGGGGATTTTTTAGATATGTGATTTATGTTTTGCAAGCATTTTTGGGATTTTAGACATGTTGTAGCTTGTATATCTTACATCAAGATTTCTGGGATTTTTAGGCAATTCTGAGAGTATAAATTATGATTTCTAGGGTAAAAGTTTGCCGAAAAAAACAGAAATAGGTTTAGCCGAACGGGTACCAGTTGCCAACTGCTCTTTACAGTTTGATTCCAGACTAGAACCGGACGTATACCGGTCCAGTTGTCGGTTTTCAAATTTAACCAATTTTGGTTCCAGTTCGGTCCGGTCCAGTTTTGGCCCGGTGCACTGTACTAGTTGTGTATAACTCAATCCGTACCGGTGGGCGTAGCTCAACTGGTAGCAAGGGAGTGCCACAAGGGTTAGGTCTCGGGTTCGAATCCCGGCAACTGCGATGAGGGTTACTATGCTGAAAAATGCATTGGGTCTCTGTAAGTACCGGGGACAGAGCCTCACTCTCTATCTGTCAGATTGTGATTATAGTCCAATTTACATCCTCCCATCGTGTCGTCCGGTCGGTGGTGGGGGCCCTCAGGGATGGGGTGTCATCCTTTTTTTTTGTATAACTCAATCCGTGTTACCACCAACATCTGCAGCGAAAACTTTATTCCAATTAAGAATGCTAAGTCATCTGTTTGCTTTCGACGTGCTTTTCATCTTGAGGAAATTCAAGTGTGGACAAGCAACTAGGTCTCAAAACTATCCTCAGAAGATCTCTTGTTCGGGTAAGAATGATGGCTATGGTAAAAACGCACAAGGCAAGGCCCATTTGAAGGAGCAAGATGACTTTATGGTGGGGGGTGGAGTGCTAAGACTTTCAACTTGAACGACTTGGGAATTTGAGTTTTTGCTAGAGGTACACATTTTGTGTACCTTAACCATTTTTTTTTCTAGGAATTTTAGCCCACCCGAAATTTATTCCCTTTCAGCCTCTGGATAAGTTCCATTCCGTTCTAGCGAGTCTTGGAATTTCCCTTTCGTTTCATATAAATAGTTGTCGAGAGTTTCTATTTGTTATACTAAAGTGCAAACAGGAATCGAGTTTTAAGTTGGCAGACCGCCTTCTCCCCTCCCATTTCTGATGATAAGTCTTTAGGTCTCTTAGACTGTTTGTACTTTGTAGTGGTTAAAGATTAGGAGTAAAAAAAAAGATTAGGAATCAAAAAATTAAAAAAAGAATTTTTAGACTCTTAATTGGGTGTAGTGGGAGATTAAAGGGAGTAAAAGTGAGTGGAGAAGTATAAAAATAGAGGGTTGAGTTGAGAGGGTAAAAGAAAAGAAAAAAGAAAAGAAGAAGAAAAAGTGGTCATTCCTGCACATGCTCAAGCGTTCTGATGACGTCATGATGATGTCACACAGACATCATTAAAATCCTAATTAATTTTAAACTCTTATAACTTTTTTATTTGTTCTCCAAATTTTTTTAAAAAATATATCAAAATTAATGAATTTTCATGATGTTTCAAATGACACCAACATGTAATATATAACATGAAGTTGTAACTGTTTAAGGTTTTTTGAACCCAAAAAAGCATCAAACACAAATTTTTAATTCATCGAGCCTTCACAAATACTAGCTGAATATTCCATAATCAAATTTTATTTGAACTAAGTTCATTTTTTGTTAACCAAAAAATGTTTAACAAAATTAGTGAAATTTATTTATTTTTACTTCGACATGTGTATTTTTTATTTCATACTTATCCATGGAAAAAAATTAAAAAGGAAAATATTACTTACAATAATTTAATTAATATTTTACTAAATTGATTTGTAAAAAATATGCAAAGTGTATGTTATTGACAGTGCACAGATGCAAGGAAAAACAGTATTGAGAGAGTCTAAACATTGTTTTCATATGAACGGATTCCAAATTTAACAATTTGGACTCTTGACCATTGCATATGGTCTTATTGTCTACAACTCTTTTCCATTCAACTTTGGAAAACAAAAAGTATGCTCTCAGCAGAGGACCATTAAGTTTTCACCTTAACTTTTAAAATATTTCCTTTAAATCTCAGCTGAAACAAGAAATGGAATGGATCCTATGGTGTGGACCATATTTATTTTCAATTCTCGAATTACTAAAAACTTTACTCATTGAAGCTTATATACCAATATATTGTAATTATTGTGCTCATCTAATTTCATAATTCGAACTACCTGTAGATTGTTATAATTTAATAGGTCGCTATATTGGTCATACTTCAACTTTTAGTTGGAGCTTTAGTTATCAAGTCAGTTAATAATGCAGAAACCAATGATAAGGAAACAACCTCATTTTCAACTTGAATTATAACACAAGATTATGACTCACACGCAGCTTATGTTTTCAAGAATTCAGAATGAGGCATCCAATTTGGCATCTCATTTATCTGGGCAAAAGTGAGAGGCAAGAGCGGACCGGTTTGGGCCGGGATCATTAAACTAGTACTACTTTCGTCCCATTTTATGTGTCTTAGTTCGACTCGGCACGGTTATTAATGAAGTGGTTGAAAAGGTAAAAGTTGTGGTTGAGATTTGAGTATAATAAAGTGAAATGGTGTAGACCACACATTTCTTTCCAAAAAGGGAAAGAAGAGACTTATTTTGGGATAACCCAAAAAGAAAAGTAGGACAGGTAAAATGGGATTGAGGGAGTAGGACCGAAGACTCGATTCAAGTTCCACCACTTTAGCAAAACTAGTTGAAACTTTGGAATACTATTTATGCGAAAAATAAGGGAAATTCCGAGGCTAGCCAAAACGGAATGAAACCTAACCAGAGGCTGAAGCAGAACAAATTTTGAACGTCTCTAGCACTGCACCCACCACCACCAAATCATCTTGCTCCTTGAAATGGACCTTTGCCTTGTGCGTTTCACCAAAGCCAGCATTCTTACCCGAACAAGAGAACTTCCGAGGATAGTCTTCAGACCTAATTGCTTGCCTGAACTTGAATTTCCTCTCGATGAAAAGCTCGTTGAAAGGAGACACACGACTTAGCATCCTTCGATTGAATGAAGTTGTTCTATGAGTTGTTGATAGGTGCTCTAGGTTGTATAATTGGACAAAATCAGAATAATAATCACTAATAATTAAATAGCATCACAAAGAAGCTAAGGGGCGTTTAGTTTGCCAAAATATCCAGTCTCAATGAGAAGAAGAAGAAGAATGGTGTCATATGAAAAATCAAATTCAACCCACCATAAGAAATTAAAGCATCCATTCTAAATAAGCAAGACATACATATTCAAAGAGATATATTGGGTAGTGAAAAGCTTATATCAAGAGATAGAAGAATCCTGAATGAAGGAAGGAGAAGCTTTCTGATCGCTCAGGAACTCGCTGCTTTGCTTATATACTGATAGAACCAATAGCACCCATTCCCCCCGCTCCCGGATCATCAATGCCTTTCCATTGCTGCAAGTCCTGTTATAGGGTTAGTTTAAATTGACAGTCATATTATAGGGTTAGTTTTAATTGCCAGTCCTATTATAGGGTTAGTTTTAATTGCTATTGCTCTATAATTACTTCATAATAAAATAATAGTCCTATTATAGGGTTATTTTTAATTCTTATTGCTCTGTAATTACTCCGTAATAAAATAACAGTGCTATTATAGGGTTATTTTAAGGGAGATTTACCCGTATATATTACTAATAAAAGTAGGAAGAATTGTTAAGATATGACCTGACTTCTTTTTAATCCTTCGTACGACCAAAAAGCGGAAAGAAGAAAACGGCCAGGGATATGCCGTATAAGTAAAGTACGAAAATACCCCAAATAAGCAAACACTCGCACTGAAAATATACTACACTTTATACTGCAGTTACTGCTCTACATTACTACATGACATTACATCACTTTCGGTAACATATCACTGCACTTCCGCCAACATTAGTTCTCTTCTCGTTCACTTTAAGAATTTATTTATAGTTCTTTTTATTTTTTATTTTTTTAGATTTAATAATTTCAGTATTTTACGTCTAATTTATTATATTGCATTTCATGCGGGTGATACTGCTCTACATTACTGCACTACTTGTCATAATCAATGCACTTTCCGTCAATGCTATGACACGATCTATTCAATCTGATCCAGTGCAACACACACTTCGTCAATACATTCCTTCATTGTCATGTACAACATTACATATTGCCATATTCACTTCCCATACTCAACCATATTATTGCTATGTTTATTGATCATGCTCACGGCCTATTTTTATTGCCCATGTTTAATGCCCAAAAATCCTGATTTCAATAAACCTTAATTTCAAAAATAGAAAAGAAGAAGATGAATGGGTATGGAGAGACGGCTCGGCGGCGGCAAGATTGGCTAACGGAGGTGTGCGGTTAGGCGGTGGATGCAGGTTGGTGTAGGGATGGATCGAGGAACGCGGCAAGGCAACATCACACAAGAATCGGGATGGCGGCGGCGCGTATGGACTGCGACGGTGGGCTCCATGTCTAGGGATGGCTGTTGCAACAACATCAACTACCTGCAACGGCAACGGCGACTGCTTCTATGAACTAGGAAGATGGATGCGATGAGGCGGATGAGCCGATGCTAGAATGAGGGAGATTATTAGGATTTAATAATGATAAGTTAGGGACATTTTAGTCTATATAAAGTATTTACTCGCACGAATAGGTCATATTTGGGGAAAGAAACTCATATGGTCATATATGAAGAAACTGGAGTAGTTTTACTCACACGAATGATAATTTTCTCTTATTTTAATTGCTATTGCTATGTAATTACTCAGTAATAAAATAACAGTACGTGCTATGATATGATAGAGTTATTTTAATAACTATTGCTCTCTAATTACTACGTAATAAAATATCAGTGCTATTAATGCCTTATTTTAATTGCTATTGCTCTGTAAATACTCCGTAATAATTGCTAGACTTGAAATTCTTTATTCTACGGTGTTTGTTTTGGTTTATTGTTTATGTAATCTTTGTCCCCCGAGTCCCTTCTCATTTGACTAAACTATTTGTTTGGAGTATAATGTTATCATGTGACTACAACAATACATTTAACGTAAATGTAATCACTATAATCATATTTAATTTTGAACTATAATACTCGTAATACCCATATTTTCATAGTCCTGTTTCGTAGATTAAGGGTTAAAATGGATGCTTTTGTTACGTCAAATTTGTTATTTGAATTTCTGTACTAAAAAATAACATAATACGCATAACTCATAATATTCATTATCACCAAGACCCATACACTATTAATAACTCCTAATTATATCTAGAAAAATTATAATTTAGTCATGTAAATTTAGTCACATGCAGATCGATCTAGTCCGTTAATTAACTATAAAATTTGTCTGCATTAATCATAATTCCACTAGAAAGTACACTTTATGACGGAAAATTTTGCGACGTTTTTTCTAGTATATTATTTTTGCAGAAATGTGTATTTTGATACTCCGTATTTTCTAATGCAATAGTCCGTAGAATGGAAAGATCTCATACTTTATCAATTGTTGGACAAATAATAGGAAAACAAAGGTAATCAAACTTTAACTAAAACTAAACGGGCGGGTACGGGGCGGGTACAGGGCTGGTACGGGGCGGCGGGTACGAGGCGGGTATTGAGCGGGCATATATAAAATCGTAACCGGTCCTGGTACCCATATAAATAAAATGGGTATTCCCCGTCCATACCCCGTTAGTATTTTTTTAATAAAATCTCAAACCAAAATGGAAGAAATTAGAAGAATAATGTGAGTATAGCGAGAACAGCGTAAATAGGGAGGAGGTACCTAATGTGGACTAATTACAATTAACAATATCCCTAAAATATGAATGCTATTACAGGGATCTTAGGTAGATTACGCAATTTCAGAGGTGACCGTTGAATGTAACTGTGATGAGAGAGCGCACAAGAAAAATGGGTGCTGCAGCGTTGGATACACATCAGTCCCACTTAGCACCGCCCGTAATCGCCGGTTGACTGTAGTGTGAAAGCATTGAGGCGGAGCACCAAAAATCGACGCTGGTGGTTGAGTACACCTCAATCCCTATGAAGCACAGATGAGATTGAAGCACAAATACTTCACTAGGGTGCTGTATCGACGTATCGGAGACGTTCCCGTATCCGATACTTAATGATACCCGTACTGTACGTTTCTGAATCGTATCTGCAATTTTTAAAAGTTTCCATTTCTTGGTAATTGTTTTAAAATTTCGGATACTCGTATCCTGACGGATACCCATATCAATTTTTTTTAAAAAAAAAAGCTTCCAAAAAAACTTTTAAAAAACACTCAAAATTTACATAATAAATTTCTATTAAAATGAAAAACTTAAAATAATTTTTACCTTGCTTTAATGTGGTACACAACTAATGTGTCTATTCCTAATTCACCCATCCTCCTATCCCTAATTCTAATTATCCTAGAAATTAATAACTCCAATAGAAATATGTATTAGAAATTTTAAAATATTGTTTTCTATCTTCATTATTCTAGAACTTTGAGTACTTGCACTTTCAATTTCAAAATTGTCGTTGTTTGACTTGTTTCTCATTTTAAATTAATGAGTTATTGACCATATTTATATTTCGAGATGCACTAGTGTACATGAGATAAAATATGAACTTATTTCGAAGTATTTTGAAAATGTAGAATGATTCAATGTCATGAATGAGTAGACGTCAGAGGATAATATATGTCTATTTTTTCAAAAAAAAAATTGTATTTTTAATAATTATAAATACATCCCTGTAACTTTTAATACTTATAAATACACCCCCATAACTTTTAATATTTATAAATATGGCCCTGTATCCGTATCCTACCTTTTTTGGTTTTGTCGTATCCCCGTACCCGTTTCCGCGTTTCCGCTACCTGTATCGGTGCTAAATAGCTCAATCGGAGTCAGCATCGGTCTATATAAGCAGAGCGAGCAGTTCCTGAGCGAGCAATCAGTCAGGTTTAGAATAAGCTGGTGTGTGGGTTGTTCATCATTCTTCTCTTTCTTTCATCTCTTTCACCGTATCTCTTAGAATTGGTGAATTGGTTGAATTTGATTTTTCATATGACCACATTCTTCTCATTTGAGTCGGATGTTTTGGCAAACTGAACGCTCCTTTCTTTCTATTGCGATTTCGTGCTTATTGTTTTGGTTCTATCCAACTCTTCGACCGAGAACACCTATAAATTAAACAATCTATACATCGAGTGAGCGTTATCATTATTGAAAGAAGTCCCGTCCTAGAGAAATCTTCATCCAAGCATGCTAGGTTTTCTGCCCCATTTGAAGGAGCAAGATGATTTGATGGTGGTGGAATCAACTCATGTTTTGCTGTCAATTAGGTTCTTTGATTAGTTCATTTTTTATTCCTTTTACATCGCTTCTGCATTAATCATATTCTTTCACATGTATATGTACATATATATGCATTCATATTTCATACACTAACTCTTTAAGCTCACGATATATATTAAATGATAGGAGTTGTAGTCGTTATGCTTCAGGCTGAGGAGACCTCAAACACCACCACCATGTCCTATTGTAGGGATCAAATAAGGGATCTCTATGATACCAACAATGTCACAACTTCAAGACAATCAACTAAATAAGCAACCCAAAACAACCCAAATTCTCACACAACCAAATTACAACACAAAATCAGCACTATTGCAGAATATAAAGCACAATAACGAGCGGAAATAAAGCACATGGAGCACACACGATTTTTTTACGTGGAAAACCCTTCAACGTGAAGGATAAAAAACCACGGGACCTCTTGAGGAGTCCACCCTTAATTATCTTATTGATAAATGAGGGTAAAAGAACCCCAAATCAGGGTACAACGGATTCATAGCCCACCAACAATCACCAATAACAATAAGAGAACAAACACTACCAAAAAAACTCGTTATAGATACGGATTTTGGCACGGAAACAATCCGAGACAATTTTGGCGCGGATTTGGGAACGGAATGCTGGAAAAGTCGATTTATTAGACAATGGCACGGAATTATCCGTGCCAATATGTTTGGCTCGGAATTTGCGACCCTACATCCGTGACAAGACCGAAAAAACTGTCACGTAGTTGGCCTGTGTTAATATACGTGCCAAATGCCGTGACAATATGGCAGGGAAGAGTATCCGTCCCAAGGACAGACGTTTTTTTTTTAAAAATGGCCCGGCATATATCCGTGCCAACTTTTTCCGTGCCAAACGCCGAGACAACCCCGTATCATATTTAGTTGTTCTAATGTCCGTCCCTATTTCCGTGCCAAAATCTAGCCGTTACGTTGGCTGGCTGGTATCCGTCCCAAACGTAGTGCCAAAATGTAACCGTTAGTTTGACCGGAATTTGGCCGTCCCAAAAACCGTCGCCTTGAGCAGATTTCGTTATGCACATTTTGGCTGGGATATTTCCGTCCCAATTTCTGTGCCTACTAAATCTACAAATATACCAAGTTGGGATGTGAAGCAAACTACATCTCAGAAAATGATGTCTTCGATCTTTGTGTATGATGAATTCTGGATAGAAGTTGGAAGTTATATTACTTGATATCTGGAGGTTTTCTATTTGGATTTCTTACTTTATATTACTTGGTATCATCGTTGTACTTAAGGTATGTAAATTTCGACCATTGTGCTTTTAAATTAATTTGATCATATCCATATTACGAGTTGTTATCAGTATTATTTAATTTGTCTTAATTATTTTGATTGAATTCAAGTGTTAGCTTTAAAACGTGAGACATTAGCTTATAAATTTAATAAATTAATTTCGTTAAGATATACTGTCAAAAAAAGTTCATTAAGATATTTTTTAATACTCAGGCACAATGAATAGACAAACTAGAAGTTGGATGTATGACCGCTACAAGGAAAATGGTAGAGGATTGAAAAAAGTGTTTGAAAATGGAGTTAACGAATTTATTAGATTCGCACAAGGGCAAACACGCTATGCTGATGGAAGTAAAATAAGATGTCCTTGTACAGAGTGTAAAAATAACAAATTTGTTGAAGGTGGTGAGGTTTGTTGGCATTTATATACGCATGGTTTTGTTGAAAACTATTACAACTGGACTGCTCAAGGAGAACCAATTGAGCCAGAGTTGTTGCCGCAAAACGTAGGAACGTCGAGGTATGTTCCCGATGAGATGGCTAATTGGGGAAATTATGAAGAAATGGTATGGGAGCAAAAAATGCTTTATGATTTGGCTGGTCCTTCTACGTTTCCAAATATCCACACGGATAATGATTTCAACGCACACAATAATGTGAACGAAGGACCAAGCTCATCATATTATGATGTGGATGTGTTAGGCACTAGATTTCAAGAAGTGCTCAAAAGTGCGGACCAGCCTTTATATTCTGACTGTTATGATCATTCACAATTATCAGCAGTTTCTGAATTTCTTAACATAAAGTCAGAATATAACCTCTCTGAAAGTTGCATGTCCAAAATATTAGACTCAGTTGGTAGTATGCTACCTCGTGATCATTGTCTTCCCGATAGTTACTACAACATGAAAAAGTTTGTTTCTGAGTTAGGTCTCCCTATGATCAAAATCCACGCATGCCCTGAAGGATGTATGTTGTTTTGGAAGAATGACGAAACACTTATCCGGTGTAAGTTTTGTAATGCGGATAGGTACAAGCCCATATCAGGTATGACTCGAAAAGCCCGAAAAAGATCTGCAGCATCGAAGTTGATATATCTTCCTTTAGCACCATGTTTGCAGAGATTATATGCCTCAAGCGCTACCGCGAAACACATGACGTGGCATGTAGAGCATGACACTGAAGAAGGGTTAATGTGTCATCCATCAGATTCTGCAGCGTGGAAGCATTTTGACAGGTGTTATCCTCAATTTGCTTTTGAGCCGCGCAATGTTAGACTTGGGTTATGTTCTGATGGTTTTGCTCCGTACGGTCAATTTGGAGGCCAGTTCTCATGTTGGCCAATTATCATTACCCCATATAACTTCCCCCCGGACATGTGTATGAAAAATCATTTTATGTTTTTATCATTAATGTGTCCAGGTCCTGGTAATCCAAAAAAAAGAATTGATGTGTATTTGCAGCCATTGATTGAAGAGCTGAAACATTTGTGTGAAGTTGGTGTTCCTACATATGATGTTTCGAGGGATCAAATATTTAATATGAAAGCTGCGATTATGTGGACCATTAGTGATTTTCCAGCATACGGAATGCTCTCTGGATGGAGTACTGCAGGCCTTATGGGTTGCCCTGTTTGTATGGAAAAATCAAATGCATTTTGGCTAAAGAATAGTCGAAAAGCATCCTACTTTGACTGTCACAGGAAATTTCTCCCACCTAATCATCCGTATCGAAAGGATAAGAAGTCATTCATCAAGGGTCGCAAGGACCGCGATCCCCCACCTCCGATTTTAACAGGATATCAGATTTATGATCGTGTTCGAAACATCCCTTCTGCCATTGACGAGCCTCTTGAGTATCCAGATGGATATCGCATTTATCATAAGTGGACAAAGAAAAGCATTTTCTGGGATTTGCCATATTGGAAGGATCTTCTGATTAGGCATAATTTGGATGTAATGCATATTGAGAAAAATGTTTTCGATAACATTTTTAACACGGTTATGAACTTCAAGGGAAAGACTAAGGATGGCCTTTCATCAAGGAAAGATGTAGCTCTGTTTTGTGATAGACCGGAAATTGCTATGGGCCCTGAGTATGTCGGTCCATTCAAGAAAGCAGTTTATCAGCTCTCGGACGAGCAGAAGAAATGCATATTGGAGTGGCTCATCAAGCTACGATTCCCTGATGGATACACTTCTAACTTTAATAGATGTGTTGACTTGGAAAATTTGGTAATGAAGAGCATGAAGAGTCATGACTGCCATGTCATGATGCAACGCCTCCTTCCCATTGCATTGAAGGAAAATCTCCCGAATAATGTGTGGGCATGTATTTGTGATGTTTCTCAATTATTTCAGTTGGTATGCTCACCGGTGCTAGACATACAAGCAATTCAGGATCTTCACCGTAACGTTCCCACTATTTTGTGCAATTTGGAAAAGATCTTTCCTCCATCCTTTTTCGATGGAATGGAGCATCTACTTGTCCATCTTCCATTTGAAGCAATGACCGCAGGGCCAAGTTGGTATAGATGGATGTATGGATTTGAGAGGTAAAATTATTATGCATTTTGTAAATGGTTTCATATATTGTTTATATTAATATAAAATAATCTTTTAATATTTGGTAAAATATGTCTTAGGTTTTTGCGAGAACTGAAAAAGAAGGTGACAAATAAAGCACACGTTGGAGCATCTATATGCCAAGCATACCTTACAGAAGAAGTTTCCACATTCTCTTCCTTCTATTTTGAAAGAGAAATCATGACTAAGCGAAAAAGGCCTGTCAGAAATGGTAATGTTGATCCAGCATTGTATGAGCAAATAGTTTCCATCTTCAACTATCCGGGCAAAGGATATGGTAGAAGGACACACCGTCGTGTTGTTGGAGACGAGTTTCGAATTGCACAAACTTACATTCTGATGAACTGCCCGGAAGTTATTCCGTATTACAAGTAAGTCAATATTAGCGAACATCGTAATAAGTTATTTCCCACACTAACAAACACTCTAACCATTTCATTTTCTTATAAAAAAAATGCAGTGATTACAGAGAAATGCTTTCTCTAGCTGGTTATTCCAATGAGGTCATTGATGCGACGATCGACACTGATTTTGCAGGATGGTTCAAAACTACGGTAAATCAATAAGGTTTTTTAATTGCAAGTATCAATTCTATAGTATTCATTACTGAACAACTAAATGACATTTGCAGATACTCCGTGAAGCTGAAAATTCTCCCGTTGATCCTTTCTTGGAGTCATTAGCATGGGGTCCTGAAACACTAGTGAGGTGTTGGTCTATATATTTTGTCAATGGCTACAAATATCATACACGTGCTTACGGAGACAATAAACCCACTATGAACAGTGGTGTGAGCGTGTCGACTTGTAGTTATGACAATTCGGAGACTAGTTTTTTTGGATATGTGGATGAAATACTGGAAATGAAATTCACTGGCCACAACAAGTTATCGTGTGTATTATTCAAATGCACTTGGGTGGATCCAGTGAGGGGGGTGAAAAAGGATCACAAACATAACTTGGTGGATGTTAATCACAGGCGTGTGTATCCGAAGAATGAACCTTTCATATTAGCTCAACAGGCTGCCCAGGTGTATTACGCGGAATATCCGTCGACACGCATCAATCGCACCGGCTGGGTAAGTGCTTGCACTATTAGACCGAGAAAAGTTGTTTCTCACGCGGTACAAAAAAACATTGATATTGATGTTTACCAACAAGAGTTTTTCCAAGCCCCAGTTCCAGACATTATTGAGGAGGATATCTTCTTGAAAGATTCTTCTGGAGCAGAAATTGAGCTTGACCCCAATGACGCCAACGATGGTCCGAACGAGGGAACTGAATATGAAGAAGAAGAATGGAACTTTCAAACGGAAGATACTGATGATGATGAGTATGTTGACCGGATTGACTCCGAAGAAGAAGAAGAATGAATTGCTTTATTTTCATGACTTATTCCAATTAATTGAATTTGTAGTCTAATATTTGGTGTCATGATTCTCATTTCTAATTGCTTTATTCTAATTGATGTGCTTTATTTGGTTTATTTAATGAAAGTATATTGTGTCTATTCTAAGTTATTTTAGTCTATGTTGTTTCTGAATAATTCAATTTCTAGTCTAAATTCTTTCTGAGTTATTTTAAAATGCAATTTCGTAGATAATTTCTCATCTATTTAATCAAATTAAAATGTTTAAATGCACATTTTTATTAAGCAAATGTACATGTTTTTACTACGGTGAAGTTGAAAAAACAATTTCAATAAAGAAACGCAAACCGATTTTATTAGGCCAAAAGCGGACATTTTTATTACATTAATTTTAGTCAAAACAGACTAAAATTACTGAAAACTCAAACGATACACGATAATAAAATTACATAAGCAAACCATACATGATAATGATAATAACAGTACATAGTAAAATGATACACTTATTTGATTCTTCAAAGTGTCTTCCTACCATCATCTTCACTTTTAGTCTTCACTTCAGAATCTTCACTTTTAGCCTTCACTTCACTTCCCCTTTTCCACAATTGATTAATTTTTTCAGCTGCAGCATCATCAACAGGCTTCATTAACTTAAGTATTTCCCCTATCGTATCAATTTTTTTCCCCAACTTATCAAAATCACATCCCCATGTTTTTTTATCACTTGAACCTTCAGATTTTTCCATAATAAAGTTTTTTCTAATTTCTCACTTATTAACTATTTTTACACTTCTATAACAAGCCATATTTATACTAGAAGCTGAACAAATGGCAAGGATTTGGATGGGCTAATTCCGTCTCAAAAACTTATTTCTTCAGCAATATACGCAATAGGCAGGGAGAAATCCCCTCCAAATCCGAGACAAAACCAGTCTGACATAATAATTACTGACCGCACAGAGTTTCAGACGACTTTTCAGTTTGGCACGGCAAATTCCGTGCCTCGTCCTTCTCAAATTTGAAATTTATTATCCCCGCCGGTCTCTTCTTGTTTTGTGCGCAATTGGGACGGATATATCCGACCCATAGCGTCTCCAAACGGGAAGATTAATCAGGATTAATCTAGAACGTCCTTGGCATTGAAGTTGGGACGGAAAGTGCCGTGCCTTTTCAAATTCAAATTAATTTACCCCCACCGATTTTTTGATTTTCGAAGCGCTTTAGGGACGGATTTATCCGTCGCATGTCGGCGCCAACACCGCCCACATATGCGAAATATCTAGAATGGGTGTGGCTCTGATTGTGCGACGGATATGGCCGCGCCAAACATCGAGGTATATAAATTTCCCTTTGCCGATTTCGTCCAAACCCTAGCCCATTTGTTCAGCCTCCCCTCTCCGCCTCTGCTTCTTCCGCTGAGTACGAACTCCGGCCACCACTTACCCTTCCTTCCCCTCCACTTCCACCACGTAGTCCGGCCACTATTTACTTACCCCCCATCTCCCACCACGAAGTCCGGTCACCACTGACTCTGCTTCACCACTTACTCAGTCCACCACATACTCCGGCCACATCATAGTCCGTCCAGCACGACGCTTTCACCGACGACGCTTGGCGCTAAGGAAGCCGCCTCCCCCTCCCGCATGTCGTGTTTCTAGCCATCTCCGGCCACGACGACGTTTGTTACTCCCTCACCGGCCTTCGTCTTCGCTCTGCATCCAGGTCATGTCCCATTAAGTACTCCTTGTTTACGGATTTTCATATAAATTTTATTTAAACGTATTGTTATTTTAAGTTTAATATAAAGTCGTTATTTTAAAACATTATTTTCAAAAAAAATAGTTTGTAAATGATTTGTTATAAACTATTTATGAATTATTATCATCTATATAAATTTATGACAAAATGATTTCTATAGTATTAAAGAGTTTTTTTTTTAATTTTGAAACGAAGTATTATTAGCAATAGAAATTATAACAGTTGTATTTATAATTACGAACAAAGTAATATATATTTTTGTTCATATATTTTTTGTTTGTATATTTTTTTTAATTAGAAGCGATCTATTATAATAAACTGAAAAATATGAAGGCCGCCTGTTATGAAGTATTTATAAATTTATATGAAAGAAGTGTTTATAAATTAATATTATGAACGAAGTAGAATAAATATGAATGTGATATTTATATATATTATAAATTTGTATTATAAACGAGGTGGTAGTTATGAAGTATTGTAATCATCTTGTCCATACAGTATCATAAACTTCGTTTTTATTAACAAAGTATATAAATACCAAACTCTTATATACCTCTGAGTGCCAAACTCTGAAATTAACCATAAATAATGTTAAACCAATTATATAATTATGAAAGCTGTAAAACTGATATACATTATGTGGAATTTTAACTTGGTAATTAATCTGGCAGTTTGACAATCTGTGTATTACTTCCTTATATAACTAGGTATAACAATCTGTTTATATTATTAAATCTTTACTTCTATTTTGTATGCATTTGATTATAGCCTAACTGTTTTAGTTTTTATAAAATTGCTCAACTGTTTCACGAGGTATAACAATCTGTTTATATTATTAAATCTTTACTTCTATTTTGTATGCATTTGGTTATAGCCTAACTGTTTCACTAGTCTGTTTTTATAAAATTGCTATGTGTTTCAATAGAATGTCTGTCCGTAGAGGTTCATTCAGTTCCTTTACCTCCTCCCGCGGAGGTCGGGGAGGTGGAGGGAGCCCAGTCATGAACCGCCTTGAGCAGAACTCTCCTCCAGCTGATTCACATGAGTCTGTCCAATCCCGACACCTTTCTGATGAACATACAAATGGTTCTGATTCTGCTACCCCCAATGATTCTGTTCAGACAAAGACCTTCATTTCACCCTTTGAAATGAGAAGGTTTAGTAATACTGCCTAATGTAATTGTATATAGAATATTTCTTCATATACATTATTTTTGTTTGGTTTTATGATACAGCAACCCTACTGTCCTGAACAACATCATTTCAATCCTGACTAACAATTTCCACGGTCCATGGCGTTCTTTTATGAATGCGGATGCTGATCAACGAAACCGTTGGTGGAAACTGTTTCAGGTATGTTATAGGTTCTTATTGTGTAAGCACTGTCATTTTAGATTGATTGTAGACAGTTCGAGAGTTCTGATGTTGCTCATTTTTTTGTTTTGTTTATTCAGAGGAAGTATGAGTGCGATGCCTGCTTTAATACCAAAATGAAAAAGAAGTTCAAGTCTCGGGCCTCTGAATGGTTGAGCAAGAACATTGGTAGGGCTAGGCGGGACAACAAGAAGCCTGACTGGATTGGTGACGGAGATTGGAAGTTGTTGCAAGAGTATTGGGCCTCTGATGCTTTTAAGAAGAAGAGCCAAGTTGGGAAGAAGAACCGAAACTCTAAAGCGGGAAAAGAATCACAGTATCGCGGTGGCAGGATACCGGTGACGAAGCATGTTGAAAGGCTGGTAAGTTTCTGTTATTATTTTGAATTATAATTCAATGATCATTGTTTTTACTTTTAATCATATTTTTTACTTATAAATCTGTAGACTAAGCAGTTGAATAGGGCTCCGTTGAAGATCGAAGTGTTCGATAAGGTGTATGTCCCGAAGTCGGGTGACCCCCCACCACGTGTTGTTGAAACAAAGGTAAAGAAACCTATACTTTTGTTATATGTTTTAATTATAATGTTATTATAGAAGAAATATATTTTAACAATAATTTTCTGTTTGTGCAGCAAAAGTATAGTGAAATGAAGGCGCTGGCTGAATCACAAGGGAAGTCTTATGATGAGGATGACTCCGAGCTGTTCTGTAAGGTGGTCCCGCTGTACAAAGGCAGGCGGTTTGGGACGGGATCTGAAGCCGAGTCGATGGAAGACGTTGAATGCTCCAGCAGAATATCGGGGCCGACTCAGCAGGAAATAGATTCCCGCATCAAGGACCAGCTGGAGGCCTGATTTGTGCAGCAGGAGAAGCAGTGGCAAAGCCAGATGGAGAAGATGACTTCCGTGTTTACGACGTACATGGAACAAGTCCGTAGCTTGAACCCTAATGTCCCGATGCCAGATTTCTCGCCTTTTCGTACCCCGACCTCTACCCAAATGAATCTCAATGATACTCTTGAAGTGCGGCTGGAAGACATCTTTGTGTAATGAACAAACACTTTTAATTTTATTGCATGTTCTGGACATCTTCTGGCAATTTGTTTGCCATTTTGACATCTTATTCGGCAGTGGTTTATCTGCCTGTACTGCTGTAATAATTTTACATTTTCTTGTTATATATGCCTTTTAATTTGCTCTATATTGCTTGTGATGTTCGTATGTCTATGCTTCTGTTTTAATGTTATGCTGCTTATAACAATTTTAATTTTAAAAAAATGTACACCGTACATATGTACGGTATCCCGTACATATGTACGGTGTACATTTTTTTTATAAATTAAAATTTGGCACGGAGTTAGCCGTATCAAGAATCCTCTCAAAATATCTAAATTGCAGTGTCATAATTTGGCTCGAGAGTTTCCGTGCCAAAATACCCGGGTAAAAATTCGGGTGACCCGGTAGATGACGAGCCAATATCCGTGCCTATTGAAATCCGAGCCAAAATGGTTGTGAATTATCAGGTAGGTTAGCCCGGATTATTCCGTGTCTAAATCCGCGACAAGCCTTGGCTCGGATGCAATTAGCCGCGCCAAACCATTTGGCACGAGCCAGGTGGGACGGATTTCGTTTCCGTGCCAAATCCGAGCCAACAGCGCTAGTCTGGGATTTCAATGAAGCTCTCCGTGCCAAAATCCGACCCTCTGGCGATTTTTTTTGGTAGTGAAAATAGCACAATAAGGTGTAGAAATCACCCAAAACTGCAGGTCTGTTCATGCAGCGTTTCTGACCAAACCAGATCTCAGCTGAACACTCCGACCGTTCAAAATGAATCCCTTGAAGTCACGAACAAGCTGTCCAAATTTCAGAAAGATCCGACCACGGGAACACCTCCAATCAACGAGCTGAATGAAGTTGCGCAGTGCAGGTCGAAAAACGAGCATGCTGTCAAATTTTCGTATGTGTGCCCTTCAATCTCCTCAGCCTTCCCAGCCTGATATTTTTCATCAAAAGGGACTCCAAAAAATTTTGTCTTAGAAGCCCAAAGCTAAAAATTAAATGGACCCAAAAATAGGAGATAAGAATCCATCAAAAAGGCCCAAACATAAACAACAAAAACCTGTAACACCTACATTATATGGGCTGGACCCATAACACCTACATTGTATGGGCTGGACCCATAACACCTACATTATATGGGCTGGACCCATAACACCTAAATTATATGAGGCACCACCAACAAGGGGCACAATAGAGGAAAGGGTGGTTGGAAAAGCCGGTTGCATTACAAAGGTGTCCGCCAAAGAACCATGAGAAACTGGGTGCTCGAAATACACGATTGGATCCCAATTGTGGCTCCCGTATATGGCTTGGAACATTCTTGAATGATTGGTTCCTAATAGGATTGAGTTGTCACATTTACTTGCTGGTTGTCTGCTTTGTGTCGTGCAAATCGGAGCTATAGATTATCCTTTTATTGCAAGCCGGGTTTATTGAAGGCCTGGAGGATAAGTCTAGAAATCAGGATGTGGAATTAAATCATAGTGACGGGTCACCTATCCAAGGCCTCTTAGAAGAAGAAGAATTTGTTTTGTCGAGAAATGGTGGCCCTCATATGTACCCGGTGAATGCTGATAACAAGCCTTATCACCATAGGCAACTTTTGCATGTGAGGGCACAATAGAGGAAATTGTGGTTTGAAAATGCGTGTTACATTACAAAGGTGTCCGTCAAAGAATTAATTTACTAAACAATATCATAGGAGATCTTGTAGTTTTATCTGAGAAATTAAAGCTCATATTTGCTTATATTGTCACTTGAGCATTTGTTTGTGGAAAACTTAAATATGTCAATTCGAACTCTAAGCACCGTTTTAAGTAGGTCGAATAATTGGATAGAATCAAAAGAATTAGCACGAAATAGCAGTAGAAACAATGAACGTTTAATTCAGTCTGCCAAAAGGCCCAAAACATCTGACTCAAATGTGAAGAAGAAAAATGTTGTGGTATGAAAAATCAAATTCAACCCACTGTAAAAAAGCATCCATTCTAAATCAAATCATCAATAAATATTCAAAGAGATATGTCATGAATGAAAAGAAGAAAGAAACAGAAGAATCATGAACGACCTCCCACACCACCTACAGAATATGGGTATTCTTTATACTTCTCATGTGTGATTTTATTTTATAACTATAAATGATCGAGTACTAGAATAAAACTAGTCATTTATAGTTATAAAATTAAACCATATACAAGAAGTAGCAACACCACTTAAGGCAACGCCAACATTCAACAGCCAAGGTCATAATTTTTTTATTCATAATGAGTTACGAGAGATGTAATATATCATATCGAAGATATTACAATGCCCTTTATTCTCAAACTATCAAGGGGTCTACTAACCCCCCCACCCCCTGGCTCTGCCCCTGTTATCATGTGCTTATGTTATCATCTAGGTAATACGCACAACAACGCAGGGAGTAACAAATTATCATATTCTATTATATACTTCAGAGTGTGAATGTGTTGACATTGATAACTATTATATGTACATTTGGGATTGTTTTAATTTCAAATCACATTGAACCAGGCTGCAAGTATATACTCTGTAATAGTTATGGTTCAGAATTAAATTGATAAGATCAGAACTAGAATATAAAATTAAATTATAATCCAAATAAAAACATCGATCTAAATATAGCAAATAAGTCGCTAAATATGAATTTATTGAATACTACATTTCTAGCCCCCCTATTCACGAAAGCCTAAGGTTGTTCGAGACAATGGTCTGATCTAACCAACAAAAACGTCTTGAATCCGTATACATAACCAGAAATAAGAATATGCCAAAACAAGCCAAAAGAGGTAATTGCAATTAGATCGGGACCTCTTATTAGTAATAGCATTACACCATAGAACTAATCATTAGTAGTGTTCAACTCACAATTACTATCAAGATATATGATTATTACTATTCTATTTGTCTGTGGATTCAAAGTTCCTAACTTTATTGCGCTGCATCCACATTATTGTGCCATAGACACTAGACCTCTAGGTCCACTACAATCCTAACACTCTTAACTTTATATGGGAATTTTTTTTGGATAACTTTTTATTTTTAGTTTCATGTAATTTAACATAGAAACAATTAATAAAGAAAAATAGAAAAAAAAAAACTAACTTAAAAAAGGAAAGAATCTATCGGTACATATAGTAAATAAAAGTAGTTCTTCAAATAGTCCCTTAACGGATTGGCATTCACAATCGAATTTTAGTATAGATACAGTCATTGGCATTTCAATCGCTCAACAATAGACTAATTCATTTCAATTTGCATCCCTAAGGGCATATTCCTCCACATTCTTGAAGAAGCAAATTAAACTAGATCCAAGGGTAGCTGCAATGGCTCTTTAAGCATGCATGTAACCCACAACAGCTTCATAGGATCAAGCCATATACGGGATCCACATTTGGGATCCGATCTCATATTTTGAGCACCTAGTTTCTCATGGTTCTTTGACGGACACCTTTGTAATGCAACGGGCATTTTTGAACCACCTTTTCCTCTATATATTGTGCCCCTTACTGGTGGTGTCTCTTATTAGGCAGCACATTGTGGTAGTTTTTGAGGTCTCCCCATGTTTCTTTGAGGACACCTTTCTATTGCAACGGGCACTTTCGAACCACCCTTTCCTCTATTGTGCTCCTTAGTAGTGGTTCCTCTTATTAGGCAGCACATGGTGGTGGTGTTTGAGGTCTTCTCAAGCTTATTCATAACGACTAGAATTCCTGTCATTTAATATATCGTGATTTTAAAGAGTTATTGTATGAATGTATATATACATGCATATGCATGGGAAAAATATGATTAATTCAAAAGCGATGTAAAAAGAATATTGAAAACCAATCAATCAAAGCACCTGATGGATTGCAAAACTTGAATTGATTCTGGCCCCTACCATTGATACTAATAACCACCATCAAGTCATCTTGGTCCTTCAAATGGGCCTTGCCTTGTGCGTTTTCACCAAAGCCAGCATTCTTACCCGAACAAGAGATCTTCCGAGGAGAATCTTCAGACCAGTTGCTTGTTCGAACTTGAATTTCATCCAGATGAAAAGCTCGAAGAAAGGAGGCATACGATCTAGCATGCTTGGAATGAAGTTTTCTCCTGAACTTGAGTTCTTCCTAAAATGATAGTGCTTATTCTTTAGATTGTTCATAGATGTAGTTCTAGGTCGTATAGTTGAATAGAATCAAAACAATTAGCACGGAATAGCAATAGAATCAATGAACGTTTAATTCAGTCTGCCAAAAGGCCCAAAACATCCGACTCAAATGTGAAAAAGAAGAAAAATGTTGTCGTATGAAAGCTCAAATTCAACCCACTGTAAAAAATCATCCATTCTAAATCAAATCACCAAGAAATATTCAAAGAGATATGTGTGAAGAGAAGAAAGAAAGAGAAGAATCATGAACGATCCACACAGCACCTACAGAACGTAGGGAGGGGTTGGAGAAGAGGAGAGCTTAAAACCTGACTGATCCCTTACGCATTGCTCTGCTTATATAGGCAGAAATTTGGGCGTTGCTGACTCAGAACGTAGATTTTTTGTGCTCAGCTTTAATGCATTCACACTACAGTATTTTAATTGTATTTTATGCAACTCATATTATTTCTTGTAGTTTCGTTTAGTCAAGCATGAAAAACTATTTACACACTTTCTTTTTATCGAAATATTTGCTACAATATGGTGTGACATAGGAATAGGAATAACGCAATAAATAGCAAAGAAATGGGACAGAGTAGTATAGTTTTTGTGTTTTATGAGTTATTTGTATATACACCCTCCGTTTCGGTTTGTTTGACACATTTTCCTTTTTTGGACGTTTCAAAATGAATGACACACTTCCCATTTGGTAAACAAAACAGTGCCAAACAGTGTCAAACAGTGTTCAAACAGTGTCCAAACAGTGCCCAAACAGTAAAATTTACCCCTTAGTAAATGTTTTCCTTAAATGTTGACAAATCAAACTATGTCAAACAAACTGAAACGGAGGGAGTATTACACTTTTTTGTAAAATTATACTTTCAATTTTATATTTTGACATTTTCGTTTTATTTATTTAATCATTTTGATTTCTCATTCTTCATTTTAATAGATCTTAAATTATTTATCAATTACGACAATTTGACTAGTTTTATATTTCTATTTCTGTATTTCTAAACGAATACTCCTTATGTATTTTTTTACATTTCATATAAGTATACTTATTATGACATTTTTTTAGTACGAAGTATATAAACTTAAATCATGAAGTTGATATACTCCGTAGTAAAAGTATCCATTGGAACCCTTTCTCTAGAAAATATGACTATGACTATTATGACTATGCTGTCATTTGTTGTTATAGTTTAAAATAAAATATGATTACAGTATAATATATACGTAGTATATACGAACGAAGTATATAATTGTAGTCACATTTTTACAATATCATACACCGTAATTTAGTAAAATGAGATAGGACTAGAGATGACAACGGAGTGGATCGATAGGACCGGTCATGTTGAAGGCCTAGGCTAGGGGTGAAAAATTAAAACAGGCTTAATCTTCAAAAAATGTAAAACTTTTTTCTTTCTAAACTAACATGCATCATAATAACAATAATATTTCAAGACATTTATAAAAAATCTCTATTGTCTAAACACTAAACCACTAATAATATACTCCCTCCGTCCCAAATACTCTCAATATAAAGGTAAGAGCACATTTGCGTTTTCAAACATTTTTAGGATAAACATTGTTTGGTACTGTTTAGACACTGTTTGGACACTGTTTCGCACTGTTCGGACACTGTTTGACACTGTTTGACGCTGTTTTGCACTGCTTTGTTTGCCAAAAAGGGAAATGTGCATTTTATATTGGGACGGTCCAAAACGGAAAATGTGTCTTTTATATTGGGACGGAGGGAGTAGTATTTGTGGTACTTATTCAAAAAATGAAACAATGGTAGTCCTATTTATGCACTTTACTAACGTTTAGGTCTTATTTAAGGGATTAACTATATTATTATAAACTCCTAAATTTCCCTCTCATGGTATCATTCTGAATCATTTTATGTTCGGTATGTACCTAAATGATTCTACTTCTCTGAGTTCTCATCTTAGCCAACTGACAGATTGATTATATTTTCAAAAGGAAAAATGGCCATTAAGCTCTCTTGATTTGTGATGTATTATCACTGACATCCCTGCATTATAAAATGTACTCCCACTTTCCTCCCTAAGTAACTTTTAATATACATTTAGATAAAATTATAGATATACTTCCATAACTTTTTATTGTATCTCCTTTTAACGTTGTAATTTATTCAATCACGAGTCTGATCGGGTAATTAATAAGTTTGTTCATATTAAAGACTCGTCCACCGAAAGTCGAACTTAGTAAATCAAAAAATGATCTAACTCTGGATAGTTCTGTTTATTGCAAATTAAAACAGATCTAACTCTGGATAGTTCTGTTTATTGCAAATTAAAGTCTCGGGACCTAGACCTTGTCCACTCATAATGTAAATCAGGTACAATAGTCTCCTATAAATCGTTCACCAACACATGTTTTGGCTAAACTGTAATTTTTATTAATACTAGTAATCTTTTTTCGTGTGAAAATAAAGAATCTCTGACATGAGATGAGTTTTCCAACAAGATTTCGACAATATCATAGATGTTTTCGTACTTCCAAAAGCAAACGATGTTTGTTGTTCTGTACTCGTACTTTTCAATTGTATATGCTATTAGTCCTACCTATAACTTTAGTCACATGTAGATGTAGTCGTGTAACTAATAAATCTGGTCATATTAAGGACTATTGCATCGGAAAATACACGTTCCTTAAAAAAAACATGCTAAAAAACCTCAATGTTTTTGTCATAAAGTGTACTTGGAGTTATTATTAGTGCAGGTGTTTAAGTGATAATGCATGAAACAATGAAACATAAAGGAGGTTGTTTGCATACTTATATAGTTATATGATAGTTGTTTTTAGTATAGAAACTCAAATAATGAATTCGACATAATAAAAGTATCCATTTGAATCCTTAAAGTTCTCATCGTTATTATAGTTCAAAATGAAATGTGATTATAGTAATTACATCTACTTTAAATGTATTACTGTTTTAGGCACGTGTTAATATTACTCTCCATAAGTCTATAGTCCATAGTTCCATACAACGTAGTTTAGTCAAATGAGACGGATTACATAAACCAAAATAAACACACTAGAAGTCAAGATTTATTTAAGGTATGACAATTATTACAGAGTAATAACTAATTCCAGGTGAATAATTACATAGCAATGGCAATTAAAAATAACCCTAAAATAGGGCTGTTATTACAGGAATCTATGATCTATCTCGCAATTTCACGTTGGCAGCAATGGAAAAGCATTGATGATCGAGGAGCAGGAGAAAATGGGCATCCTGCTGGTTCAAGCCTGCTCAGCAAAATCTAACCGGAATTTTAGTTTATAAGCAGAGCAGCGAGTTCCTAAGCGGTCAGTCGCCTTCTCCCCTTAATCTCTCATCTCCTCCTCGGCTCCTTCCTTCGTTCATGATTTTTCTCTGTTCATTTTTTTTGGAATTTCTACTGCTTCTTCCAAAATCCGAATGAATGATTTTTAGTTCTTGTTTGAATTTGGCTTTTCACTTTTCGCATGGCAATCAGTGGCAATGATTCTGCTTCTCCCAGGAGTAGGATACTGGATACCTATTGAAAACTGAAAGCTCCTTGTTCATTTCCAATTGAAAGAGCCGCAACTTTCTCGTGCGTGCTTATGAATCAGACGTAATTATTTGTGCTGCAACATCGAAGGAGCAAAAAATGCTCTCCAAATGCACAAAAGAAATTACATAAATGGATCATGGCTATATCCTTTTTGTTAATAAAATCAATTGTGACAAATAAGTCCTACATGGGGCAGATTTGTTAGAACTTTTGGGTATATGTCGAGTTGATAAAAAATTATGTAATCGTTCAAGTTTGAATTCATGCAATTATTTAATTAAATAAATCATCATTTCACATTAAAAAAAATATTAACTTGCAAAACAAAGCTCCAGTCTAATACCAGTTTGGTCTCGTAAAAATTGGAATAGTGCAGCCCTGTCTTCGGTCTTATTCGTTTAGCGATTCCGGCTCCTGTCCAAACCGGTTTTGATCCGGTCTGGTCTTGCAAATGTCATGGATATTTCTCTTGTCTCTCACTTTTGACCAGATAAATGAGTTGTCAAATTGCATGCCTCAGGCCATATTCCATCCACATTATCTAATCATCTTCAAGACGATCGTGCATAGGTCCGAAAACAGCATTTCAGCACGTTTTTCGCCCCAGTTTAACCCGGACTCATCTGTTTGCTATAAATAAGGTCTCGCTTCTCCTGTTTAATTGTTGCGAGCCAGATACAACACATTATAAAACATACAACACACGTCTTCACAATCACATACATAACACCTACTCTCATCAACATAAAAAACACCTTGAAAATACCCTTTACAAATCAAATACAAAACCGGTATAACACAGTACAATCATCCAATATTCATAACAAGTAATCATCTAATATTCATACTCGAACACATCAAGACAACATACAAGACTTTACAAGAGAAAATACGTCAAATGTTGTAAATTGTTCCTACAACATCTACAATACAAAACACAAACTACAAGTTCCCATCGTCAGCTTCGTCCTGGAGATGTTGCTGCTCATGTCTACGCCTACGCCTCTCTCATGCTGCGTCTGGGATGATGAAGCCGCCGCTGCACTAGACGTGAATGGCATCTCCTGAGATGGGGGCATGTGTATAAGATGGCCGTAGTCGACTCGCCCCAACACATCTGAACACAAGGACGCAATGCCTGTCAGAGCCTGTCCATACATGTCCACATCATGACTATCAGTCACTGTGGCAGTAGCCCGCTGAATTATGCGCTGCAAAGCTCGTGTCTGAAATATGAAACACAATTACATTTACACTGAAATGCATACAAATATTACATAAATAAAATGACTTACTTTACTAATTACTAATATACTCACCGTAAGATGCAAAGCCAAGGAGCTAGGTTGATAATGATGAGTAGGGAGTCTGAACGAAGAAGACACAAACAAACGAGTGATGCTATAATACCATCCCATGTAGTCTCCTGAAACAGATGGCACATATGTCGGTGTCCCAGCAACAACTAGCTCAGCTCTCCTTTCCCACATAGTCACATATCTGACATGTCTGAGTGCCCAATCCTCTGTATGCTTCCCACGCCTATCCAGCCTATGCAGCTCAACATAAGTGTCGATAGGCCGTGGAGCGACCTGCTCAAACCCAAACTGTCGCAAGACTCTATCGTGCAAATGAAGCTCAACAATATCAAAACATATCAACGGCACACGTGCTCGCGATATGTGAGTATGCTCTCGTCCAGCTGGGGGCTACTCTGCTAGCATCTCAGGTGTAAACGGCATCCATGTAATCTGTTTCATAAAGATAAAAATTAGGAGATTTTCTATACATATTATAGTTAATGTTATACTACCCACACCATACCTGGTCCTCAGACATCCGATCAAATGCATCCCTGTACACACCAAATCCAGTAACAGATGACATGCGAGATAGACTAACATATAGCCATCTAACCATTCATCTAACAGTATCATTAATATGGATATTATCAATGTATTTACACACAACATACACTCACATAAATACAAACGATTGAAAACATACCGACGGCCTAGAGGGTCCTCGTCCCGTACATGATGTGGTCCTAGAAGACGTGGAGGCTCATCAGGCAGTGGCTGTCCATCAATGCCATGATATCCGACTATAATGGGACGCCCGATGTGGATGTACTCCCATGACCAAATCTGGAGGAGTGGCAAAAATCCCCCAAGCTCTGTGCTCCCTCTCTGGCAACCGCGACAAAGCTGTCTGTACAGATAAGCCAGGGTGGCACTACCCCAGCTGAACTGTGCTACTACATCAAACCTCTTTAGCAAAGGCAAGTGCAGCACCTGAACCTCATTTCCGCTATTGTCAGCGAAAATGGAGGCTCCAATCATCATCAATATATAAGCCCGAGCATGCTGCTGGATCATCACCTCATCAGCGTCGGGAGGAAGCACCTGGAAGTGCTCCCTCAACCATGGCATCCTCAGAGATGACCCCTGAAGGTCAGTCCTAAGAACGGGACGGATACCTAACAACCGCTCACACTCATCCACCCACTGTCGACAAGCAGTGCCTGTAACAGCTCTCCCATGAACCTCTAACCCGTTAAGTACAACAACATCTCCCAATGTCACGGTCACCTCTCCAACAGGGAGGTGAAATGAGTGTGTCTCCTGCCTCCAATGCTCAAGTAGAGCAGTGAGAAGCGCTCTATCTAGAGGCACAGTAGCCACTAATCTTTGAAGAGTATAAAAACCTGCAGCACCAACATAGGTTAGTACTCTGTCGTCGACGTGCAAATGCGACAAACCCCGCTGGTGCTCGCGGCACCTATCCACCTGAACATCCATGCCAAGCCAAACATCCTCACTCCTGTGCGAGGCCTGCAATGTCAGGACAGAACGATCACTCGGCCCAGGATCCGCTGTCACCTCCATGTCTACAAACAAACAAAAATTGTATTAATTCTTATTCCATAATATATTAATTTTTTTTTAACATCCCTTTTTGAAATTATTATTTTTTCTTGCAACGAAAACATTAATTGTAATTGACTCTAAATAGAACCTTACCCAGCGGACCCCCCCCTCGTGTCTAGACGATCTCTTCGCACATGTGGCTCTATTATGGCCGGTTTGGTGGCATTTTCCACATCTAACCGTTCCTCGTGGACCTTCATCCATCTCATTCTTAATACCTGTCGACTTTGGTCTTCCCTTAGCCCGAAGCATGGATGGATCGTGCACGATTTCGGGTCCATTGTAAGTAGGCCAATAATCACGATCAGAATCGGTTTGAAGACTCTATGATAAGTGGCGGCGTATTGGTCAGATGAGAAAAAGTTATCCACAAATGGAGCATAAGACAAACTACGTTGTCTACACACGACTAACACATGGGAGCATGGAATCTTATATATCTCCATCTTTTTACAAGTGCAAGTTTTCCGTTGTAGATGGACAGTTTGTTTTCTCCCACCCTTTCCCAACGTTCGGCTACCACAACCGGTTTCCACCTGAAATATACCTCGGCCTAAATCAAATGGAGTTACACTGTGATGCTTTGCCTTCTCTCTATTTTTATCAATTAAATCTGTGATGTGTGGGGAGTACTCGTGGCCTTGTGTGAGTCTCAATTTACTGGTTTCACGCCTAATAACAAAATATGCGTTGACCCGGTAAAAAGACACCTGGACCAAGGCGGTGATGGGCAAATATCTAGCATTTTTCATGACGCTATTGAAAACATCTGCCAGATTTGAAGTGATGGTAGTGAAAAATGATAGATATTTGCCCATCACCGCCTTGACAGTATCACCATCATCTTCATAAAGTGGCTAGACGGGGCACATGCCATGACAGTATCACCATCATCTTCATCAGATTCTGTCATGTCATCACCATTGATATTTGCAGATGTTTTCAATAGCGTCATGAAAAATACTAGATATTTGTCCATCACCGCCTTGGTCCAAGTGTTTTTTTACCGGGTCAACGCATATTTTGTTACTAGGCGTGAAACCAGTAAATTGAGGCTCACACAAGGCCACGAGTACTCCCCACACATCTCAGATTTAATTGATAAAAATAGAGAGAAGGCAAAGCATCACAGTGTAACTCCATTTGATTTAGGCCGAGGTATATTTCAGGTGGAAACCGGTTGTGGTGGCCGAACGTTGGGAAAGGGTGGGAGAAAACAAACTGTCCATCTACAACGGAAAACTTGCACTTGTAAAAAGATGGAGATATATAAGATTCCATGCTCCCATGTGTTAGCCGTGTGTAGACAACGTAGTTTGTCTTATGCTCCATTTGTGGATAACTTTTTCTCATCTGACCAATACGCCGCCATTTATCATAGAGTCTTCAAACCGATTCCTGATCGTGATTATTGGCCTACTTACAATGGACCCGAAATCGTGCACGATCCATCCATACTTCGGGCTAAGGGAAGACCAAAGTCGACACGTATTAAGAATGAGATAGATGAAGGTCCACGAGGAACGATTAGATGTGGAAAATGCCATAAACCGGCCATAATAGAGCCACATGTGCGAAGAGATCGTCTAGACACGAGGGGGGTCCGCTGGGTAAGGTTCTATTTAGAGTCAATTACAATTAATGTTTTCGTTGCAAGAAAAAATAATAATTTCAAAAGGGGATGTTAAAAAAAATTAATATATTATGGAATAAGAACTAATACAATTTTTGTTTGTTTGTAGGCATGGAGGTGACAACGGATCCTGGGCCGAGTGATCGTTCTGTCCTGACATTGCAGGCCTGGCACAGGAGTGAGGATGTTTGGCTTGGCATGGATTTTCAGGTGGATAGGTGCCGCGAGCACCAGCGGGGTTTGTCGCATTTGCACGTCGACGACAGAGTACTAACCTATGTTGGTGTTGCAGGTTTTTATACTGTTCACAGATTAGTGGCAACTGTGCCTCTAGATAGAGCGCTTCTCACTGCTCTACTTGAGCGTTGGAGGCAGGAGACACACTCATTTCACCTCCCTGTTGGAGAGGTGACCGTGACATTGGGAGATGTTGTTGTACTTAACGGGTTAGAGGTTCATGGGAGAGCTGTTACAGGCACTGCTTGTCGACAGTGGGTGGATGAGTGTGAGCGGTTGTTAAGTATCCGTCCCGTTCTTAGGACTGACCTTCAGGGGTCATCTCTGAGGATGCCATGGTTGAGGGAGCACTTCCAGGTGCTTCCTCCCGACGCTGATGAGGTGATGATCCAGCAGCATGCTCGGGCTTATATATTGATGATGATTGGAGCCTCCATTTTCGCTGACAATAGCGGAAATGAGGTTCAGGTGCTGCACTTGCCTTTGCTAAAGAGGTTTGATGTAGTAGCACAGTTCAGCTGGGGTAGTGCCACCCTGGCTTATCTGTACAGACAGCTTTGTCGCGGTTGCCAGAGAGGGAGCACAGAGCTTGGGGGATTTTTGCCACTCCTCCAGATTTGGTCATGGGAGTACATCCACATCGGGCGTCCCATTATAGTCGGATATCATGGCATTGATGGACAGCCACTGCCTGATGAGCCTCCACGTCTTCTAGGACCACATCATGTACGGGGCGAGGACCCTCTAGGCCGTCGGTATGTTTTCAATCGTTTGTATTTATTTGAGTGTATGTTGTGTGTAAATACATTGATAATATCCATATTAATGATACTGTTACATGAATGGTTAGATGGTTATATGATGGTCTATCTCGCATGTCATCCGTTACTGGACTTGGTGTGTACAGGGATGCATTTGATCGGATGTCTGAGGACCAGGTATGGTGTGGGTAGTATAACATTAACTATAATATGTATAGAAAATCTCCTAATTTTGTATCTTTATGAAACAGATTACATGGATGCCGTTTACACCTGAGATGTTAGCAGAGTTGCCCCCAGCTGGACGAGAGCATACTCACATATGGCGAGCACGTGTGCCATTGATATGTTTTGACATTGTTGAGCTTCATTTGCCTGATAGAGTCTTGCGACAGTTTGGGTTTGAGCAGGTCGTTCCACGGCCTATCGACACTTATGTTGAGCTGCATAGGCTGGATAGGCGTGGGAAGCATACAGAGGATTGGGCACTCAGACATGTCTGATATGTGACTATGTGGGAAAGGAGAGCTGAACTAGTTGTTGCTGGGACACCGACATATGTGCCATCTGTTTCAGGAGACTACATGGGATGGTATTATAGCATCACTCGTTTGTTTGTGTCTTCTTCGTTCAGACTCCCTACTCATCATTATCAACCTAGCTCCTTGGCTTTGCATCTTACGGTGAGTATATTAGTAATTAGTAAAGTAAGTCATTTTATTTATGTAATATTTGTATGTATTTCAGTGTAAATGTAATTGTGTTTCATATTTCAGACACGAGCTTTGCAGCGCATACATCAGCGGGCTACTGCCACAGTGACTGATAGTCATGATGTGGACATGTATGGACAGGCTCTGACAGGCATTGCGTCCTTGTGTTCAGATGTGTTGGGGCGAGTCGACTACGGCCATCTTATACACATGCCCCCATCTCAGGAGATGCCATCCACGTCTAGTGCAGCGGCGGCTTCATCATCCCAGACGCAGCATGAGAGAGGCGTAGGCGTAGACATGAGCAGCAACATCTCCAGGACAAAGCTGACGATGGGAACTTGTAGTTTGTCTTTTGTATTGTAATTTTTCTTATGCAGTAGATGTTGTAGGAACAATTTACAACATTTGACGTATTTTCTCTTGTAAAGTCTTGTATGTTGTCTTGATGTGTTTGAGTATGAATATTAGATGATTACTTGTTATGAATATTGGATGATTGTACTGTGTTATACCGGTTATGAATGGAAGGTTTTGTATTTGATTTGTAAAGGGTATTTTCAAGGTGTTTTTTATGTTGATGAGAGTAGGTGTTATGTATGTGATTGTGAAGACGTGTGTTGTATGTTTTATAATGTGTTGTATCTGGCTCGCAACACTTAAACAGGAGAAGAGAGACCTTATTTATAGCAAACAGATGAGTCCAGGTTAAACTGGGGCGAAAAACCTGCTGAAATGCTGTTTTCGGACCTAGGCACGATCGTGCGTCCCAGGGTACGCACGATCGTGCGTGGCTGGCAGTAGCTGCTCGCCTTCAACCATATTTCAGGGGTAAGTCGCCCAACGGTTGGGGAACTTATAAGTCGCCAAACGGTTTGGCGACTTATAAGTTGCCCAACCGTTGGGCGACTTACACCTGACCGTGGTTAAGGCCAGCAGTAGATCGGTAAATACTTTTTTTCCAGCATTATTTTCGTAATTAATTAATTAATTAACATTAATTCGAAAAAAAAAACTCAAAAATCTTGTAGTAAGGTTTACAAGTTACAACATGTCTAAAAACCCCAAAATTGCTTGCAAAACATAAATCACATGTCTAAATATTCCCAAAATGCCGCATAAAGTATTAGGTTTACAACAAGATGATTCGCGAATATTAAAGTTGCAACTTCAAGTAACAAAAACTTCAACCCACATAAACCACAACAACATGATTATGGAATATTAGAGCTTGAAACTTCAAGACTTCAAATAACACAAACCAGTTCCATAGTAATACAACTAACCTCCTCCACGCCTAAAAAATTAAAAACGAAGTAAAACGAAATTTAATAGGATCATTAGTATTAAGCTGTAGGAAAAAATGTCATCATTACATAATTTGTGTTAACTACTTGTTAATATGATTGGAACCTATAAAGTGGCCAAAGAAAGATCATTTCTATGATTTTGTAAGCAAATTTATGTTCACAATTCTGAAATGTGTACCGATTTTTGGTAATTATTTTTAGTGTCTTGTTTGACTTTTATAAATGCATTACTAGCAAGGTGAGGCTATCAAGAAGAACACGGACTTGAAAGTGGGAAAGTTCTGTGAGTTAGCCCATGAATTGAATACCATTTTCTGTGTACAAACTATATGAATATGATCACATAAAACGGTACACATAAAATGGTATTCAATTTATGCCCTAACTCACAAAACTTTCTCATTTCAAGCCCGTATTCTTCTTGATAGTCTTACCTTGCTAGTAGTGCATTTATAAAAGGCAAACAAGGCGTTAAAAAAATTACCAAAAATGGATACACACTTCAGAATTATGAACCAAAGCTTACTTACAAAATCATAGAAATGATCTCTCTTGGCCATTTTATAGTTTCCAATCAAATTAACAAGCAATTAACACAACTATAGGCCAATATAATGATAGCATTCTTTGTACAGTTTAATATTAATGCTCATATTAATTTAGGTTTAATTTGTTTTTTATTTTTATAGGTGTGGAGGAGGCAAATTGTATTACTGAAGAGCAGATTTATGTTAACTGAAGTCTTAGCTTCAAGCTTTAATATTCCATAATCATGTTTTTGTGGTTTATATTGGTTGAAGTTTTTGTTGCTTGAAGTTGCAAACTTTAATATTCGCTAATCTATCTTGTTGTAGACCTAATACTTTATATGGCATTTTGGGGATTTTTAGACATGTGATTTATGTTTTGCAAGCATTTTTGGGATTTTTAGATATGTTGTAACTTGTAAATCTTACTACATACAAGATTTTTGAGATTTTAGACATTATTGAAAGTATAAAATATGATTTTTAGGGTAAATAAAAGTTTGCTAGAAAAAACAGAAACCCGATAAGCCGGACCGGTTACGGTTGCGAACCAGTATTTCCGGTTCGGTTCCGGGCTAGAACCAGACGTATACCTGTCCATTGAGGGTTTTCAAATTTAGCTAATTCTGGTTCCGATTTGGCCCGCTCTGCTCCAGTTTTAGCCCGGTGCACAGTCCTAACCACCAGCACCAATGATAATCCTAACCACTAGCATGCTTGGAATGAAGTTTTCTCCAGGACGGGAGTTCTTGCACAAACGATAATGCTCACTCGATCTATAGATTGTTCATGGGTGTTGGATAGAACCATAAACAATAAGCACGAAATAGCAACAGAAAGATAATTCAGTTATTATGAAAAATCAAATTCAACCCACCCTTAAAACTCACCAATTGTAAATCATCATGAAATATTCAAAGAGATATAGGAATGAAAGAGAAGAATCATGAACGAATTACACAGCACCGACAGAAGGGAGGGATTGGAGAAGAGGAGAGCCCAAAACCTGGATTAGGAACTGCTCGCTCGCTCTGCTTATATAGGCTGAAATTTGGGCTGAGCTGACTCGGATTGAAGTGTTTTCAACCACCTGCGTCGATTTTCCGTGCTCGGCTTCAATGCTTTCACACCGCAGTCAATAGGCGATTACGGTAAAGTCGGACAGAGATCTCTGTAATAACACTCGTCTGAAATTCGTTTATGGAACTCAATTTATTTCTTCTGATGTGTTCCCTTTAGGTTTATGTAATCCCGCATTTTATTTCTCTCCCCCTCTCCCATCAAATTTTCACATCTTTGAACATTTTAACTTTTTAGTCTAGCATCAAAAACTATATTGAAATGTTTTTTGTAATGTTTGCGACAAAAAACGGGTTTAATGCATATCCCCTCTCCTTAAAAAAAGGGTTTAACGAATCAATCACTCTCGTGAAATATATATTCAACATATCAGCCTTTGTGATTTAAAAAATGTGTCAAATCCTCTTTTTTTGTTAATTATGTGCAAAATCGCTTCTATGAACAAATCTATTTGCCAAAACAAATTTAATTGCCAGAAACATGAAAGATGATTAGTTTTTTTTGTATAATTTAGAAATTTTGACAAAGTGTGGCATATTCATTCATATTATTAAGAAAAATTATCTCAAAATTGTAAAATTTGTTTTTGGACGGTGTTTTGCGCATGAATAATAATAACAACGGGGTTTGACACATTTTTTAAAATATTATTGTGCCGAATTTATATTTCACGAGAGGATTTGGTGTATTAAACCCCAATAAATAATGTAGAAAAGGTAAAAGAAGAATGGAAAACAGGAGAAGCACACAAGAGAAGATTTAAGAAAAAGAGGAAAAACCTAGCAACAAATAAAATACATTTCAAATAGGAAAGTCTAGAATATATTTCAATACTGATGGGCTAGTTTAAACTCTTATTAAATTTTATTAATAATTGTATCAAATTAAAACACGACACATAAAATGGGATGGAGATGGTATATTTTTTGGGTTTTAGAAATAATTAGTTATACTCCGTATTACTCATTTTTTTTGTAAAATTATACTTGTGAATTTATATTTTTACATTTTATTTATTGATCATTTTGATTTCTGATTTTTCATTTTAATATTTTTGAAATTATTTATCTTTTACAATAAATAAACTAGTTTTTACGACAAGTTGTAGCATTTCACATAAGTATTAAAGTATACTATATTTAGTATAAACTTTTTTTAACCCTTTCTCTAGAAACTATGACTGACTATTATGAGTATGTTGTCATTTGTTGTTATAGTTTATGTATAATATATGGCGACACGACGGATCGGGGGACGGTTATGCATATAACCATACCCGCTCTATTGGGTAATTTACCCGCCCCGTAACCGCCCCATTATCCAAAGGATAATTTTTATTCAAACCATAACCGCCCCAACGGCTAACGATTATAACCACGTGTAATCATTTTATTAAATGAGTTATTGATATTTTAATATATAAAATATTATTTTAAAAGGAGAATAGATGGCATCGCCTAGACGACTCTAGACATGAGATGCCACTTAAAAGTTTCGTGCATCTACAAAACAAGAAAGAAGCAACCTAAATAAATTTGAACCTAAAAATACTTAAATTAAAAAAAAATATGAGAAATATAATACCCAAACAAGATTATTAAAATCTATTAAGAACTTCCATTCCTACATTATACCTAGTTACACAATGAAAAGAGAAAAATTTCATCTTTTATTAATTGTGGAACAAATAATAGAAACAATGTAATAAAAATATGAGAAAACTTCATGTCAGGCCGGCCTGACGGGCTGCCCCGTCCGGCCGAGCCTGTTTGGGCACCTTCCCGGTGGAATTTTTTGATGAATTTTTTTGAGCATGTTCCTCATCAAGTATAGTTTGTCCATATCAAATTTCAGCTCAAAATTCAATCGGGAAGGTCGTCAAATGATTTTTGCAAGTTAACTGGTCCGGAATATGTATTTTCCCAGGAGTAGGATACCTATGGAAACTGATCGAAAGCTCCTTGCCTCCTTCAGCCCATCTTTCTAATGCTATTTCGTGATTATTATTTTTATTTTATCAAACTACTTTGTTTTTGTTTTTCCTTCTACAATTATAGCTAGAGTTGTGCTCCTTGAAATGAATTAGCTAGTCTGTTGTTGAGCGATTGAAATGATATTGGTTGTGTCGGTACTTGAATTGGATTTTGAATGCCAACATGTTTTGAAATTGCCTCAAGGCAAAGCCCATTTAAAGGAGCAAGATGATTTGGTGGTGGTGGATGGAGTGCTAGAAACATTCAACTTGAATGACTTGGGAATTTTAGCCCACTCAAAATTTGTTCTGCTTCAGCCTCTGGATGGGTTCCATTCCGTTCTGGAGAGCCTTGGAATTTCCCCTACTTTTCATATAAATAGTTGTCCACAGTTTTGGTAAAATGTTGGAGAGCCATTCTGGTAATTCTCTTGTTCTCTCCTTCTTGTCAACAACTCTTGTCCATTTAGCATTGGAAAATAAAAGGTATGCTCTCGGCAATAGGAAGGTGCCTGCTGAAAAAATAAAATGCTGCTGAACTGCAGAGTCCAATTAAGTTTTAACCTCAACTTAAAATTATTTCCTTTATTGTTACACAATATTAGTGATATTGCTGAAATAAGAACCGGAATGAATCCTTAGATAGGTGTGGAGATCAGAAGTACACCTACAGAATGAAAGTCAATTATTGGTGCTGGAATCAATTCAAGTTTCCCAATCCATCAGGTTCATTGATTGATTGGTTTTCAATATTACTTTTATATCGCTTCATCAATATTATTCATATTCTTTCCCATATATACGTACATACAAATATACATTATATTCATACACTCGATCACTCTTTAAGCTCACGATATATTAAATGGCCATGAGTTGTAGACTGTAGTCTTAGGGATCACGTAGAGGAAATCATTAGTTGCTTAATAAGAGGCACGACCCGTAAAGGGCACAATAGAGGAAAAGGTGATTTCGAGAATGCCAGTTGCATTGCAAAAGGTGTCTGCCAAAGAACCAATAGAAACTGGGTGCTCGAGATATGGGAGCCCAATTGTTTCTCTCATATATGGCATGTTACATTAGACAGCACCTATGATGCCGTTGTGGGTTACGTGCATGCGTAGTGAGGCATTCCTGAAGAATGTGATGGAGGAGCAAGAACATCAGGAGGAGACATGCAATTTGAGTGGCTTACCAGACTTGTGCTGTTTGTAATGAGTTAGTCTATGGTTGAGCGATTGAGATCATTGGTTGTGTCCGTACTTGAATTCCAATTTGAGTGCCAATTTGTTTTGCCTAACCAACCATTTGGTTCCTACATTCTCATTAGCATCCACCCAAAAAACTTGGACACAAATGACACTTTTTATTGTAGTGAAAACAATATAATATTATTGTATTTACCATATTGCTTCTCCATCCAAAGAAATCAATTCTGGCGGAGCTGCTTTGTTCATAGTATTCAAATTTTTCATAGTATTCAAATTCCGGATTATTTTAGACCTAGTTAAATTACATTTAATTTATGTCCTAGAAAAACTAATTATTTGATCGAGTATCATTATTGATGAAGAACTTTAAGCTATGAGATTATTTTAAATTTATTTAATAAATGTGATGTGATAATGATATATAATCGAAAGTTGTTTATTTAAAGAGCGTGAATGGAGATGCTTCAAGGGATATGATAGATGAAATGTGCAAATATAGGGTCCAAATTATTGGAAACTATCAATCTAAGATCTAAAATACCATCATCTTTAATATTTTATATTTTAAAAAATTAAAATATTATATATTTTATATTTTATATTTTATATTATAAACTTTTGAGGGGTACAATGTGGGCGAGGAGTACATTCCATCCCTCAAAGGACCACATTCATAGCAGTTTGGACAATTGAGGGGTGACATTTATATTGTCGAAAAATGGGTCTGACATTTCAATATGGTGACTTTTTCAGGGACCGAAAGTGTGTCTTTTCCTAAATAAGTATATACTTTTGGTGAAATTCATGTCAATAATCCCTACTTCTTTACATTCTACAATAATAATCTCTACTTAACAAATTGATAAAAATAATCCAAACAGATAAACTTGATCACAGGAATAGATTAAACGAAACGGAGTTAATTATTCCGTCTCAGCCCAACTCCCAAACATCACAACGACGCAACTCCATCCCTAAATCCTTAGTCTTCATTTCCAAGAGAACGCTTCATCCCCTCACCATACTCTTCTTCTACTCTGCCTTTGAACATTCTCTTTTCTGATGGCTTCTTAATTCAAAACATTCAATTCAAAAGTTAAGAAAAAGTGAAACAGAATGTTGAAGCTAAGCTTCGAAAACAGGAAAGCATGAGACTTAAGAGCCACTAGGAGCCATGGAAGTTCAATGTTTCAATTAAAAAAACATGAGAGTTGTGGGTATTTTATAAAACCTGGGAAAATTAGTCCTTTTGCAGCGTGAATGATCACTAATTTTTTCAAAAAAACAAAATCAAGGGAATTATAGGACTACTAGTGCTGAAATTTAATTCGTGAACAGGGCACAAATACCTCGAAATTGCTATTGTCAGACGCCAAGGGCAGGTATATCTTATTAAATGAGTTCCAAAATTATTTGTATGGTTTCAATCAGCAAAAGACACATTTATTAAAAAGTTGCTGCAATTTCATTATGAATTTTGATGATGGGCTCGATAGCAGGGTGGTAGCCATTTAATAGCAGATAGATGGATGAATATGAAGAACGGTTTGTACGTAGTATATGAATTGAAGAGATGAAAAATGTAGAGGAGAAGATGACAGATAAGAGGAGAAGACCAGTAGATTTGGAAGAAGAAGAAGAAGAAGAAGAAGAAGAAGAAGAAGAAGAAGAAGAAGAAGAAGAAGAAGAAGAAGAAGAAGAAGAAGAAGAAGAAGAAGAAGAAGAAGAAGAAGAAGAAGAAGAAGAAGAAGAAGAAGAAGAAGAAGAAGAAGAAGAAGAAGAAGAAGAAGAAGAAGAAGAAGAAGAAGAAGAAGAAGAAGAAGAAGAAGAAGAAGAAGAAGAAGAAGAAGAAGAAGAAGAAGAAGAAGAAGAAGAAGAAGAAGAAGAAGAAGAAGAAGAAGAAGAAGAAAATATGTTGTACGAGGAAGAGAGCTGAGAGCTGCAGAGCTGAGGTAGCAGGGACGCTGGGGATCGGGTTTATAACAGAATGGTTACTTCCCTGTCATCTGTTTTTGTGAAGTGGCTTAAGGGTTTGGATTATTTTTATCAATTTGTTAAGTGTGGATTATTATTGTAGAATGTCAAGA